CTCAGTGCCTTCGTGGAGTCGCCCAAAGCCAAGAAAGCCAAACCCAGCTCCAGCACCAAGGTGAGAACACAGAAACAGGCCTGAGCTGAGCTGGTTCCTGGAGGCTTTTGAGCCCCTTTAGTTGGGTCTGAACCCCTCAAATAGGCAGCGCCGGCCATTAACTCTGATATTTAAGGGTTTAAATGTACCTTTTACATTATACGGAGCGTTTCTGTGTGGTTTCAGCTTCATCCGCTCCTAGTTTCCTGTGGTAAACAGGTGGTCAGGAAACTACCTGTGACCCTACCTGTGGTCACAGATAGGGACGTCCCGATCCAGCTTTTTTTACTTCCGATCCGATACCGATCCCGGCCTATCAGAGCATGTGTTAAAGTTTAAAGTTATTTATCTACTTACTTAGTTGTGAGACTCATGTTGAACAGGGATTTACTCTGATAACAACTTAATGGTTAGGACACAGACCTGTGGGTTAGGAGATGCTAATGCTAATGCTCGTGTGGGATCGGACTTTAAAAACTGGATCTGGAGTCTGGATCTGCATTTTCTCCTGCCGGCCGATATGCAGTTTTTTGCAAATATCGGTGGCCGATCCGATCCAGATATCGGATCGGGACCAGCCTAGTCTCAGCTTCAGGCTACATCCGCTCCTGGTTTCACACAGAGGTCACAGTCACAGGGGGCCAGGGCCCAAAAATGTAGGACACGAGGGAGAATTTTGACTGAAACTGCAAAGATTTTCTGGAAAAAACGCTGAACCGATCACAAATGAAAGACACTTTCGATCTTTTATTATCTTTCCATGTTCACATGTTATTGTTGTAATGAGGGTTTTTTTTTTACATTTTGAAAGTACTTTAAAACCTCTACATACGAATTTAATTCGTTCCAGGAACTACTTCGTATGTTAAAATATTTGTATGTTGGTTCAAATTCCCATCAGAATACACTGTAATTCCTATAATTCGTTCCAAAAATCTACGATATCTTCTTTATAAATAATTCAGATAATTACACATAGCAATAAAACAAATGCATTATATGAGAGTGATGTAAAAATAAATAAATGATAAATAAATAATCAATAAAAAGGTTTTTTTATTGACAAATAGAGGTGGAGACTTAGCTTACTGTAACTTCCACTACATGCATTTTAAACAAATTTAGCTTATTTATATTTATTTAATTATTTTATATTTATATTTCTATGACTTCAACGTTATATATGTTGGAAATTTACTTCAGGTGTTGGTAAATTGGTATATTTAGGCCTTGTAATTATAGGTTCTGCTGTAGTTTGGCAGGATTTGTTTCTGCAGACGTTAGAGTTGTAGTTCTTTGGACATGTGCGATAATTGTTTGTCTTACTTTCGGTTGTCTCTCAGCACAAAGCCGCCACAAATCCAGAGGTCAGAGACGGAGATCACAGCGAAGAATTCTTGGAGGTAAAAACGCTTCATTTGGTCTGAAATATCTCCACTTTTATTTCTATTTATCAGCTTCTCTTGAATGAATGGTTTTGCTTTATCAACTCAGTTTTATTCTTTATTAACCTTTATTTAAATCTCTAACATTTATTATAGTTTTCTCGAGAGTCTCTTTTTATACAAAGCAGAAACTTGACAATACACTAAAACTAATTAGATAAAATTCAACACCTTAAACCTCATTAAATTAAACCTGTGGAGTCATTAAATGTTGACCGAAGGCAGAATTTATTGTCTGTTCTGTTAAAATGAGCTTCAGTTCTGTTCCGATGGTCTCCAGATAACACAGGAACAGAGCAGGAAGAGATCAATAAATATGAAATGTTTGAATTTAGGAGGAAAAGTCTCTGTGTCCACCAGCTTTGAGCTCCAGGTCTTTCACCCGACTCCTCAGTAGGGATGGGGATAGAAACCCGGTTCTATCAAGGACCCGGTTCCACTTTTTTCAAAACCCGAAAATCAATAACGTTTGGGCTTATACCACTATCGAGTCTGGTCGTTTTTTTTTATTATTAAAATAGTAATTGTGAAATCCGTGTTGTAATCGGCAGCATACAAGCTAGTAAATAAAATTTCAGATGTGTTCAGATTGGCTCATTTAAAACGACAATTAGGTTATCATGATGCGTTCAAGTGTAACGTTAAGAAAAGGGAAATTGAGTTTTTGGCGAGAAACATGAGTAATACAGTTGTATATTGCTCTAATTATTTTAGAATATATAATTAAACTACTAATGCCAACATTTATAAAAAATTACATTTAATTTAAAATACAATTATTTATTTGTTAAATATTGTCACATCGTCTTTCCACCAAATAACAGAAAAGTATCGATAGTGGTATCAATAAAGACTCGGATCGATAAGGAGTATCGATAAAAGTATCGATATCAATAAATATTAACGATCCCCATCCCTACTCCTCAGTGTATCCATGGAAATGCCCCCTTAAAGCTCCCAGAGCTCCTCACCAACCAACCACCAAACCCCCAAATCCGTTAGCAGTGTTCTCTAACCCCCAGAGGCCCTTAGCTTTCCCAGCTCTGGTCTCAGGGTTTGTGTGTCTGTCTGCAGCCGGTGGAGCGCGAGCCTCTGGTCTACCACCTGGACTCCGGGTCCCGCCTCCCCCAGGACCGCCTCGACCAATCAGAGCTGCCCGACGAGTTCTTCGAGGTAACCATGGACGACGTACGCAAACGCTTCGCCCAGCTCAAAAGCGAGAGGTGAGACGTCTTCTAAACTGTACCAACAAACAGGAGAGACCCGTTAGCCCGATTCTTTAAACGAGAGGATTACTTATCAAAATAAAACAGGAAATGACAAGACAACGTGGAGATGTTAGCCTGTGCCTTTAGTTTGAAACCTGAGAATAAACCAGAGTGGATCAAAAGTATAAAAATGACTTTTATTGGACACAGTTAAGTGTATCAGCTGGGTTCTAACAGACAAAAACCTCTCTCTGGGTCTCAGTGTGCTACACAAATAAACTTCCTTTGCCTAATGACTTGCATTATTTTGTGAATTCATGACATTTAAAGAAGGTTAAAGACCCAAAGACGATCACAGACCATTTAACACCTGAAGGGAAGGGCAGGTGAACACAATCAGACACACAGGGAAGAGCAAGAAACCTGAAACGAGAGGATTACTTATCAAAATAAAACAGGAAATGACACGACCACATGGAGATGTTAGCCTGGTTCTTTAGTTGGAAACCTGAGAATAAATCAGAATAGATCAAGAGTATAAGAATGACTTTTATTGGGTCACAGTTAAGTGTATCAGCTGGGCTCTAACAGACTAAAACCTCTCTCTGGGTCTCAGTGGGCAAAGAGCCCTGAGATCTGGGTGATGGGCATTATCTCCTGGGCTCCATCCGCCTCCTCAAAGGAGGACTGGACACAACCAAGTCCTATAGGCCAGTTACCTCTGGGCACGAACAGGCCAGGTCCTAATTCATGCAGATGACAGGAATGTGGTAACAAATGGTGTGTGTTTGTGTGTGTGTGTTGACCTAAAGGTGGATCTAATGCAACAGAGAGAGGAAAAGAGAGAAAAGAGAGTCTGTGGACACAGCCAGAGAGTTTAACACAAAATATAGTTAGGCTATAGACAGGCTAAGAGCTTTTGATTTTCACACAGCGGACAGTAAAGGCGGATCGGCCATTTCGAACCCTGACGACAGCAGGAGCTGAAACTCGATCCAAGAGATCAGAATCAGAAACACTTTGATAATCCCAGAAGGAAATAGTTTTGTTGTTACTAACTCCAGAAATAAAACAACAGCACAC